CTTTGATGGCTCCCTTCTGCCTACAGCGGAGTAAGTGGACATTCCTGAGCTGGGCACACAGGCTTTCAAAGCCTACCGGCCTCTCCAACCTCATCACCCCCTTCTGGTCCAGCCTCCAAGGAACCATGGGGCTGGCTCCAAAGCAAGACATCAGGAAGGAAGAAGTGAAGCTTATTTTCCTAGAGAGGGGGAAAAAAATGTTTTGACCGTCAGGAGTATCACTGAACTGCTAAAAGTACATGAAATGGTCTGTAAGCCTCATGAAGCGTAAGTTGGGTTCTATTCATTCCTGCAGGATTTCTTGAGTACTCTGTGTCAGGCCCTGTGCTGAGTCTGAGGACCTGCTTGTGAACATGACAGACAAGTCCCTGGCCTCGGGAAGCTTCACTTCAGTGGGAAAACAGAGCGGAAAAGTAGAAATGTGATTCCAGGTAGTGATAGGGCCGTAAAGAAAGTGAAGCGGGACAAGGGGTAGGGGGTGATGGAGAGGGCCCTTTTACATAGGTGGTCGGGAAAGTTCTCTGAGGAAGCGAGATTCTGTGACACGAGGAAAAAGTGAATATTTTCATCAAGGCTGGCAACAAAACACAGAAAATCTGGGAGGTTCATTTCAGGAACAGACCTGCTGTCATCACGCCAAGGAATCTCTCTTCCAACTCGCTCAAGAGTACTGTCTTTGTGGTAGTTCCCTGGCGGTCCAGTGGTTAGGACTCCACGCTTCCACTGCAGGGGGCATGGGTTCGATCCTGGTCAGGGAACTAAGATCCTGCATGCCGTGCGGTGCAGCCAAAAAAGGGAAAAAAAGAAGAAAAAAAAAGCACTGTCTTCAAACACCTAGGCATCCTTCCTGCCTCTGTGCCTTCACACGTGCTGTTCCCCTTGCCAGCCTGTCCAACTCCACCTGTTTTCTTTTCTTTTGAACTCTTCTCCATTATGGTTTATTACAGGATATCAAATATAGTTCCCTATGCTATACAGTAGGTCCTTGTTGTTTCCACCTGTTTTCTATCCTTTAAAATCTTTCTACCTCAAAGTATTGATACTTCCAAGCTTTTCTCATCCCCTTGGTTCCTGGACAAAGGACCCAGTTCATCACCACTTTGTTTATGGCTCATCGGGGCACGTGACGCTGACTCTGTGGGCCCCTCTCTCAAGACTAGGAGATTCTGGAAGGCAGGACTCAGGCCTCACGTGCATTACCAACACCGACCCCTCACCAGGGCTGGCACAAAGGTATTGTTCAATAAACGTTTGATTCAGTGGCCCTAAATGTATATGGGTTAAATCTATTGGTTTTATCCAATTAGAAATTAAACCGGAGAAAAACTTAAAACATAAGAACATCCATGCCTACATTCCACGCAAGCCATCAGAGTGATGACATATGTCATCACATGTCATGCAGCTTCTAGAAAATAGTTCTTTATGGGAGAAACAGAGTGAAAAAAAGTAAATAACAACAACAAAAAAAGCTATAGGGGCTTCCCTGGTGGCGCAGTGGTTGAGAGTCCGCCTGCCGATGCAGGGGCCGCGGGTTCGTGCCCCGGTCCGGGAGGATCCCACATGCCGCGGAGTGGCTGGGCCTGTCAGCCATGGCCGCTGAGCCTGCGCGTCCGGAGCCTGTGCAACGGGACGGGCCACAACAGTGAGAGGCCCGCGTACCGCAAAAAAAAAAAAAGTAAATAAAAAAGTAAATAACAACAACAAAAAAAGCTATAGGGGCTTCCCTGGTGGCGCAGTGGTTGAGAGTCCGCCTGCCGATGCAGGGGACGCGGGTTCGTGCCCCGGTCCGGGAGGATCCCACATGCCGCGGAGTGGCTGGGCCTGTCAGCCATGGCCGCTGAGCCTGCGCGTCCGGAGCCTGTGCAACGGGACGGGCCACAACAGTGAGAGGCCCGCGTACCGCAAAAAAAAAAAAAGTAAATAACATCTTAGTATCGTTAGGAAAATGGTCAAAACCCAGTCAGCCCTAGGATGGAATCCAGGCTCTGCTGCTTCCTAGCTGTGTCATGTGGGGCAATTTCCTTATCCTCTCTGAGATTCAGTTTTTCATCTGTTAAACAGGAATAATAGCAGCCTATACCTCAGAGTCACTCTGAGCGTTAAATAACACGTGTAAACTGCTTAGCATTGTTCCTAGCGTGTAAGCACTAATGGTGGTGGACAGAAATGGTTGGTCTATTGTGCAGGAGGAGGGTGTAGTAAAAGCAGCAGGCTGACCACAAGTCAAGAGACTTGGCGCTGGAGCTCTTCCATTAGCCCTTCCACCTTGACTTTGGGGAACACACATGTCCTTCTGGGTTTGGTCTGCTCCACCTGGCATCTGAAGGTACCTCAGGAGCTGTCATGAAGAGACGGGTAGAGGCTGAGCAGCTAAGTTCCCACCCTCATTTGAACCGATATTAAATATCAAGGCTACTGGGAATTCCCTGGCGGTCCAGTGGTTAGGACTCTGTGCTTTCACTGCTGAAAACGTGGGTTCAATCCCTGGTCAGGGAACTAAGATCCTGCAAGCCACATGGTGTGGCCAAAATAACCCCAAATACCAAGGCTACCTTATCAATTAAGCACCACAAGCACTGTACCCAGGTCCTTCTAGCTTTCAAGTGCCCACAGTTGGGAGCCGAAGAAAATTTCAACTCCAAAATAAGGAGATTAGGGCTTCCCTAGTGGCCCAGTGGTTAAGAATCCGCCTGCTAATGCAGGGGACATGGGTTCAAGCTCTGGTCCGGGAAGATCCCACGTACCTCGGAGCAACTGAGCCCCATGCACCACAACTACTGAGTCTGTGATCTAGAGCCCAAGAGCCACAACTACTGAAGCCCACACGCCTAGAGCCTGTGCTCTGCAACAAGAGAAGCCACTGCAATGAGAAGCCCACGCACTGCAAGGAAGACTAGCCCCTGCTCGCTGCAAGTAAAAAAGCCCACACACAGCAGTGAAGACCCAACGCAGCCAAAAATAAATTAATTATTTAAAAAAACAAAATAAGGAGATTAAATTGTATAATTGAAATAAATGTTGTAGTAAATGTCTACAATATGTAATATGTAAGGGAGTTAAATGCAGTTCTATTCGACATATATAGTTACATATATGAACTATATTAAATGTGGGAGTTGGAGTTTTTTAATATTTGAAATTATGTGTGGTAGGGTGGCTGTACAAAAATGTGCATAAAGTTTACAAAGGTCTTTAAAAGACTGTGTGATTTCCCTTGAAAAGTAATGTTCTACATCCAAAATAATTTAATCTTTGAAAGCCACTAAACACACCAAACCGTACTGAACTACATGATCTCTAGGGCCCCATTCCGGAGTTGGTAGATCATGAGAGGCTGGATTGAAATGTGCTTAGAGAGGTTATTTGCCCTTGACAAGTTATAAGGCCTGAGGATGGGCGCGGGGCCGAGGGTGATGTCAGGATCCTGAGGCCCAAGAGGCCTTGTGGAGCCATGACTCCCCACCCGTCTGTGAGGCTGAGCTGCTGGGGGCAGGTGGAGCCAAGCAGACATGGTCTGAACGTCTCCTTCATAGGGAACTTAGCAGGTGTTCATCTCAAGATGTGCCCTGCAGCTGAGTAATTCCCTGAGGTGTGGCCTGTCCTCCTTAGCTAAGTTCATGACAGGCCACACTCCAGAATTCCCCCAGACTCACTGATGGCACCAACTCCCCATCATTTCCTGAGGAGCCAAGTGTTAGGAGGCTGAGGCTCAGATGTGAAAGGAAAGTAGGATAGAGATGGGGTGGTAACAACATGGTCCTAAAAAGGACCAGCCTAGTGGGTCTTAAAGGCTGAAATTGTCCAACCTTCGTACTGGGTCCAGTATGCTCCCCCTATGGGTGGGGTTGGAACAGCAGACAATCCCTGTAATTCTGGTCAGTCACAGTGTGCACAGAGGGGTGGCTAGAGGTTCCAGCTGGCAGCGGGGAGGGGACAGCCCAGCTGGCTGCTGGGAGCCTGAGAGAGCTGGAACGCAGGCACTAGGCCTGGATATGAGAATCAGGGTCTGTTTTCTGGCCCAAGGACAGACCCTCCGTGTTTGGGAATAGGGACCTCCACAAGGCTGAGGGCTTTCTCACACCTACACTGGACCCCCTTTGTGTTTGGGCAGCATCCAAAGCACAGGACACGAACTTGCACAGATATGGGCAAGTCATGTCTCCTGAGCCTCAGTTTATAAGATTCCAGTGAAACAATATAAAAGCACTTCCCAGACAAGGGCTTACAGCTTCACTGGCTGTAGTGATGACCTAGTACCTCCCACTGCCCGGGGCACATTTTAAGGACAAGTCTCTTTCACCACATAAAGGTTTTTATTGAACTCAAATTCAGGGGCTCCAAAGCCTGAGGAAGACAAGGGAGGCTGGGGTTTGCACTCAGAAGCCAGGCCAAGCTTCGGGGCCCCACTCCCCACCCCCCATACCCTCACCCCTTCCTGACTCAACGAGGGTCTCAGTAGCTACCAATCTAAGCTACCCACTCTAATTAAGTAACCCAACCCCCCCCCCCCCCCCCCAACACACACACAATCCTCTAGCCCTCTGGCCCACTCACGCCTTTCCCGGAAGTGCTCCCTGGTGGCCACTCACTAATCTCCACGCGGACTTCTGTTGGGTACACTTTATCCAGGCCAAAGCGATAGGAGCCCATGAATTATGTACATGCAACCCTCCCTCCCCCCACCCCCACCTAGCACTTTGCCAAGCCAGGCTTCCACCAAGGGGCATACTGCTGCTGAGGCCAGCTCTCTGCTGACCTCTTTCTGGATCTCTCCCAGAGCCTCCGGCTGCCAGCTTGGCCTCCCTCCAACCCCTCTTCATAGCCCACTTCCCATAAGTCTCCGTGTCATGTCGCTTCCTCCATCCCGGCCCCCTCTCCTCCTAGAACCCTCGACTCCTCCCTACTCCAGCGTTTCCCCTATTCTCTCTCAAGGTTTCTCTAGCTCCCTGTCCCCTTCTCTTCTGCCCACCACCTCCCCACCCCGACGGGGCCCCAGGTCAGCGCCGGCCGGCCGCGTGGGTCCGCTGGTGGCGGATGAGGTCGGAGCTCTGAGAGAAGGCCTTTCCACAGTCATCGCACTTGTAGGGCCGCTCCCCGCTGTGGACCCGGTGATGCTGCAGCAGCGTGGAGGAGCGGCAGAAGCCCTTGCCACACACGGCGCACCTGTAGGGCCGCTCGCCCGTGTGGGAGCGCTGGTGCTGAATCAGCGTGGAGGAGCGATTGAAGGTCTTGCCGCAGTCGGGGCAGCTGTAGGTGCGACCCGGCAGGTGGGTACGGGCGTGGATGGCCAGCACCGAGCTCTGGCCAAAGCGCTTGCCGCACTCAGGGCACTTGAAGGGCTTCTCGCGGGCATGGCTGCGGGCGTGGGGGATAAGTGCCGAGCGCTGGGAGAAGCTCTTGCCACAGATGCCACAGCTGAAGGGCCTCTGCCCGGTGTGCACCCTCTGGTGACTACGCAGGGATGAGTTCTGGCTGTAGCACTTGCCACACTCGGGGCAGCTGTAGGGCCGCTCATGGCTGTGGGTGCGCTGGTGCCGCAGGAGGTAGGAGCTGTCGCCGAAGGCCTTGCCGCAGTGTGGGCACTTGTAGGGCTTCTGACCAGAGTGCGTGCGCTGGTGGCGAAGCAGGTAAGAGCTGTCAGCGAAGGCCTTGCCGCAACGGGGACACTTGTAGGGCCGTTCGCCCGTGTGCGTGCGCTGGTGTTTGATGAGGTCAGAGCTCTGGGAGAAGGCCTTGCTACAGACCTCACATTTATAGGGTTTTTCACCTGTGTGGATGCGCTGGTGCTGGATCAGGGTGGAGCCCCGCCCAAAACTCTTCCCACAGATGCCGCAGATGTTAGGCCTCGGGCCCTGCCCACCCCTGGCCCGGCCACCTCGTCGGCCTGGACCACGAAGGGTCCCCGTCAGGCCCAGGGGATTCTGGAGCATCTCAAACTGGGGTGTAGCCAGCAGGGCCCCTGTGGGCATCTCAAAAGGGGGCCCTAGGGGCAGGCCCCCAGTGGACTGTTCCCCAAACCCCTGGGTGAAAGAGTCCAAAGGGTGGACTCCCAAGGGGATGCTCAAGGGATTCTTTTCCTCAGGATTCAGAAGAATCTCTGCACCTTCCTGGAACTTGGAACTTTGAGCTTCAAATTCAGGGCTCTGGGTTTTGAACTCAGGATTCTGGGGTTCAAATCCAGGGTTCTGCGGTTCATATCCCGGGCTCTGGGATTCATACCTGGAGCTCTGAGATTCATATCCAGGGCTCTTGGGTTCATACCCAGGGCTTTGGGGCTCATACCTAGGGCTTTGGGGTTCAAACTCAGGGCTCTGAGAATCTGATTCAGGGCTTCTGGGTGCAAACTCAGGGCTTGGGGGCACAAAACCAGGGCTTCGGGACTCAAAACCTGGACTCTCAGGCTCAAACCTGGGGCTTTGGGGTTCAAACTCTGGGTTTTGTAGCCCAAACCCAGGGCTCTGGGGTTCAAGCCCAAAAGGTATCTCTTCCACCTCATAGTCCCCAGTGCCTTCTTGCTGAGAAATTTCCTCTTCCTCATTCTCACTCATGTTGCCTGCAGGATCAGAGAATTACAGAAAACCCAGATTGTGTGGGGCCTGGAAGGTCACTGGGTCCCACCATTAGTTGCCACAAACCTTTCCCTCCTTCTCAAGCAGGGTCGCTGGCCCTCGGGCAAGTGCTGAAATTCCCACCTCCCCCTCAGCAAACCCAGGACACCGGGTCCCCGCCCCCGCCTCCTCCAAGTCCCAGGTGTCCAAGCCCCCGGCTCTCTTCCCCTCCCACCCGCTACAACCCTCTCTCCCACTCCCAGTCACGCTCCTCGGAGGGGCGCTCCCTCCCTCACCTTTGAGGGACCCTTCGGGGCTCCCCATTTCGTCAGGACTTTGCACATCTCTGGGCTCGAGGCCCCACGGCGACGCCTCCCGTTCCATCCCCGCCGGCTCCCAGTGCGGCGGCAGTGGCGATGGCGGACGATCCTGCGACCCGGTCTGAGTGCCCCGAGACCCGGGCCCTCGCCGCCCGCCCGATTAGCGCCACCCAGGGAACCCAGCTGTCCAGCCCCGGCCTCTGAGGCCGGACGTCTTGACCCTGGGCCTCTCCGGCCCGCTGGGCCCCTCCCCTATCCGCGGCCCCGCCCCCACCCACAAAGTCTCGGCTTGCCCTGGGGTCCTCACAGGCCCCCACACGTCGTGACCTCGGAGATGAGAGGCTTCACGACTCGCCTTGCCGCCCCCGGATACCGCTCCCCGCCCGGGACCCCGACGTCTGGCCTCCCAGCCCCCGGGTGGGCTGCGGCTGGCCGTCCCCCTCCCCTCCGCACAGGAAGTGTCCGTCCGCGGCCAGTTTCCCCCGCTGGCTAGCGCCGCGGCCTCTCTAGGAGACACTGGAGGTGGAAACTCGTTGGCATTAACCCTGGGCTGGATGGCCCCGGCGTCGAGGTAGGCGAGGACTGGGCGCCCTGGAGCCGGCGGGAGAAGCTGGGGCAGTTTGTATGCCTATGTCCTAGGTCCTGTCCGCCCGGGAGCCTATATGTCCGTCTCCCGGCCCTGCGTCCGTCAGTGCCTGTGGCCAAGGGCGAGGCAACAAGAGAGACCAAGGTCAGCGAGAAGGAGCGACGCTTCCCGGTGCCAGCGGGGGCGGTGTCTAGTTCCCCTCCCCTCCCGGGCCTTGGGGTCAGCTCTGGCCGCGCCTCGGGACCCCACCCCGCCACTTAGGCTCATCGAGGTTCCTGAGTCTGGAACCCCCCCACCTCGAACTCCACTCCCCCACACCGGCGCGCCCACCCTCAGTCCTCCTGGCCCCCTCCGCTCGCTGCTTCTCCTAATCTCACCCCGCTTCAGGGAGGGCTGGGATCGTTGCCAAGGAAACAGGCCTGCCTCCAGTTTCCAGAGGCCCGCCCCTCCCTCCCAGGGAGCTCACCGATTGGTCGGTGCAGCGCGTGCTTTCACCGTCCCGCCTCCTCTCACTACACCAACTGCTTAGGCGTTAATGGTCGCCAGGGAACGCGAGGCACCTTTCTGATTGGTTGCAGGGTGCGCAGGCCGGTTCCACCTCTTCCGTGCTTCAGAAGTGCTAGCGGGAGGAGTGGGAGAGCCTGTGCTTTCAGACATTTTCCCGCCCTCATTTACCCTTCATTAGGTTTTATCTTTCTGAAGAATGAAAGACAAGGCACCTGAGGAAGACACCCTTGACTCCCCAGTCTCTTCTCACACTCTCTTTCCCGGCACTTTCCTTCTTCCTACAGGTTCCAGGTGCCGAAGTGGCCAGTCGGGGGGGGGG